TATGAGTTGGAATTGACTTGATGGGAGTGAGTTTGGTTTTGGTTTTTACACACTAGTACACATTGTGCCTAGTTTTACTATAAGCCACAATCTATTACAATTTTAGTATGATTTTCTACAATCTACTCTTTGCAGGCCAAGTAGAATTAATTATAAGCCTAAAAGCTTTTGAAGTTTATTTGCAAGGCTCTATCAACAGTAAAATTTTGGCATCTCAATATTAAAATATATGTTACAGAGAATCATAAATCATAATCATAATCAAGCTTCCAGCATAAAGCCTTTTTACTTTTGCAGGAAAGTAAGAGGTCCTCAGGAGCTATTCGTTGCACTATTTCACAATCAGACATGCTTAACAGATATTCTGTGTATTGGACAAGGTTTGCAACAGGTGCAGAATGGGCATGGGGTAATGTCCTCTGACCTCCTCTACTTTCACAAACGGGAGAGAATCACCATCAGCAGCATCAGCCCGACTTGATTTCCTATGAGGCAAAAGTTAGACATGCTACCACTCTCCAACTCTCCTTACCAATTATGAGACCAGCTGTCCCTCCCACAGCCCTCACTACTCTGCTGGGTTTGATAATTCATTGCAATAGCCATACAGAATTCACAGACAATACTCATAGTTACGGGGTTTATTAGGTAAGCAGAAGGTTGCAGTTCAGGTTCAGGAATGCTCAGGATTCAATTCTTTGACCAGGACAGGCTCCTCTGTAACACTGCAGAGGCATACCTCTCTTTAGCACTTTGGCCTCTTGGCCTGGCATCTTCTCTGCTTGGGCAAGTGCTACAGAGCTCTTAGGTACACCCCACTCTGCCAGCATGCCTCCTCCCAAAAGACACTCAGCTTTCTTGCTTCATGGGCCAGCAAGCCCACCGCTCTGTCTCGTGCTGGTCTCTCGGTTCTGCTGCCTCTGCTGCTGCCATTTCTTTGATATCTCTCTGCTGTCTCTCTGCTGAAGAGATCCAGCACACAGATCTTGGGTTTGATGATGTGCTTCATTCCTGGCTGCTCTTTCTTGCTGGTTGTGAGATTCCTCTTTCTGCCTCTGGATGGTTCATTTTAAATCTAGTCCCACCCACACAAGGGTGCCGTGTACCTTATTAACATTAATAATAAGCTGTCCAGTCCCTTTGGTAGATCACAAAGCACTTCACATTTGCATAGTCATTTTGTAGAAGTCACAAAGACCATGGCTAAAAGCCATGCCAAGTAATGTCCTACATCACCCAAAGACATAGGAATTTTCTGCCAAGAAAATTTTAAAATGAGACTCTTGGGATGGAGTGGAAATGCTGGCTACAGCATCCTGAGCCGATAGAAGCATGGCACGCCACCTGCCCCGTCCTCCTTTCCACAGCCCCGCCACCACAGCACTGCGAGTTACAGAATGTCCATAGAGGCAGTGTTGGCGATCCCATCTATGGGAAACCTTCTGTGTGTACAGGTTTTTCACAAGACTTGGACAAATCTACCAGTCCTGGCTGGACAAGTCTACTCCTTACACAGCAGTACAGTGGGTTGTGACACTGGCACTGAGCTTGGTCTACATGATCAAGAGTTTACCTGTTGCAGGGCTGGTACATTATGACCTATGGCTTGGGAATCTACCACCTAAACCTTTTCATAGCTTTTCTTTCTCCAAAAGTGGATCCCTCCCTAATGGAAGATTCAGATGATGACCCTTCCTTGCCAACCAAGGAGAATGAGGAGTTCCAGCCCTTCATCCGAAGGCTGCCAGAGTTGAAATTTTGGCCCTTGGTAAGAAAGGGCATCCTGGTGGCCATGGTCTGCGTGTTCTTCAACGAATTCAACATGCCGGTGCCTTGGCCCATCCTGGTGATATATTTCATCATGCTCTTCTGCATCACAATGAAGAGGCAGATGAAGTACATGATAAAATACCAGTCTATCCTATTCACACACAGCAAGAGGAAATAGAAAGGGAAGGAAGACGTGGGGAAAACATTTACTAGTTAGCAGCTTGACTGAGTCTGTCACTCGTACCCTGAGAATGATTTTGAACCATTGTGACAATGCCTTTTTTCTTTACATAAAATAGTTGATTGTGAGGGGTCGAATTTTCTTTATAAAATGATCATCAGTTATTTGTATCAGATATATCAGGTTCTAGAAGAAACTGGCACTTAAACCAAATTGTATAGATTTATTTTTCAGTGGCATTCAAGTGTGTCAAACTGGCAGAGCCCAGGCAGGGAGACAGGCTGTGTTGGACTGGCAGGTGGGCGGAGGCAGCAGCCTCACTGCAATCCTGGACACCCTGCAAGGCTATGAGCACGGGGAGCAGCCAGGCTATATGAAGGGACCCATATTCTCCAGAACACCTCTGGGCAGGGTCTGCACACCCCAGCCACGTCAGACCTCTTCGCAGGAGGGTGATGCTCCTCTGATGTCACCTGTCTGGAAAACTCATTGCTGTCGAGTCAGACCCGACTCATAGCAACCCCTTCTTGGGTTTCTGAGGCAGTATCACTACCGAGGTAGATTGCTCAGCCTTCCTTCCAAGGAGTGGCTGGTGGGTTTGAACCACCAGCCTTCTGGTTAGCAGTCAAATGCCTTAAGCACTATGCTACCAGAGCTCCCACCTGTCTGGAAGAGCCTCACAAATTAAAGATGACTTCCAGAACTATGGGTTTCATGCCAGTTTCCCAATCTCACCTCACCATGGTGTGCAGATTGCTCCATCATGATGACTCAAAACTCTGTTCTTACCACCATGATTGCTTCTGGGGGCGTGGAGTGACAAATACATATTATATTAAAAAGAATAAATAAAAATAAAATGGGACTTGTCAATGATGTCACCAGATATTTTACTCCCATTTTTTGTTCATGCACAAACATGCAAATATGTGCTTTAATGAGAGTGTTAAATTAGAGTTAAGGCTGTAATCTCTTCCTGTCAGGTTTGCCAGGACTAACAAAATCAGTTGTCTGTTTTTGTTTTCAAGAAGCTTCTAAAGGTACAGTCCTCAGCACAATCCTTATAGTGTTTTTCTTACTTTGGGAACAGGAGAAATGTTTTGCTGTTTGTTATTTGTGTTTTCAAAGTTCTTTAAACATTAAGTAAGCAGGTAGGATTTAAGAACTTTGGCAGACATTCTGAATTGGGATGGCTTTTAGAAGATTTGGAGTCCCTGGATGGTGTGAATGGTTAACATACTGGACTGCTAACCAAAAAGTTGGAGGTTCAAGTCCAGCCAAAGGCACTTCAGAAGAAAGAACTGGTGATCTGCTTTTGAAAAATCAGCCATTGAAAATCCTGTGGAGCACAGTTCTGCCCTCACACACATGGGGTCACCATGAGTCAAAATCGACTTAATAGCAGTTGGTTTTTAGATTTGAACTGGCTTGCACCAAGGTCCTCTTGGTTTTACTGAAGACTGAAGTTTTCATTTTAACATCATTTTGTCCACAAATTCTACGAAGTTTGTTGCCACATCACGGTGGGGGTGCTAGGCTGGTAGGTGCTAAGTAAGGTTCAATGTGGTTAAAGGTCATTGTACCTGTGGGCAAATACCTTCAACAGGTATCCCTCTCCCTATGACTCCATGACCTGGTCTGTGGCTTCCAAAAATGGAGAAAGACATACTTAGAACTTATAGTTATATATTTAAAGGGGATGCCATTAATGATTAAGAAAATGGGTTTGGGATTCAGGTGGCCTGGCTTCAAATCCCTGATTTACTTATTTATACTCATATCACTGACAGGAACTGAAGTATTGGAGTCATCTTATTATTCACACAATGGTAAAGCATTTATAGGACATGTACCTCCATAAGAACGGACACCTATTTGAGGAGCTGGTGTTGAGTACAAGTCTGTGTTCAGCTATCCTGCTTCCTATATTAGCACCATTTTAGTAGAATGGATCTAAGGTGGATTCTCAGTGAATGAATCTACCATTGTGTGGTTTTTTAGTTCTCATAGTTCATTGTTGTCACTCTTGCAATTAATTTTTTTTAAAAAATGGGGTCAAACACTCCAATAGTATTATCAGTCAGCATAGATAAAATCCCATACCATTCATTCTACTCAATCCATGATGCCCTAGGATTCATTTTTCTAATTGCTCTGTTACAGTCACCTCTCAACTAAATCTTACGTACCTCAGCACTGCAGAGGTAAAGTTTTTACATTCACTTAGTAGTTCTGTGGCTCATTTCAAACAAACTGGGAAAGCTTTTATCCTTTATCACTTCAATCCTCGTTCTGATCCTAATGATCATACCAAACAGTGACAATTGGACAGAATAGTTTCTAGGCCTTGGTTTCCTAATTTATAAAACTGGGAATATGATTGCACCTCTTCATAAAGTTGGCATTATGAGCATGTACAAGTTAATAGAATAAAGCCTGGTGCACAGAACATTCTCAGTAAGTATCAGTTGTCATTCTTACAATTTATTATTTTTATATAATCTGTTTCTACTAGTGACCCTGTGTCTTGGACCACTGAGCTGTTCCCTGTTCTGTCTATGAGCAGAAGGAAAAAAGAGTACCTAAGGTGGTTCCTTTTAGCCTTCTCTTCTATACCTCCTCACTCCAGCCCAAAGTATAACCAAGCCCTACTCCGCTTAAAAAGAAGAAAGCATCTGTGTTATAAAGAAATACAGTTCAGTATATATATATATTGCACTACAGACTTCATTAGATACCATCTACCTGTCAGAAAAAATCATTAGCAAGATCCTTTCACAGTGTTTTGTGCAGACACATTGCATAGGAATGTTTGCTTAATAACCATAGCTTCTGAAACATAGAACTTTGCTTGATTTCAGCAAGTCATGTTCTTTAACATTATGTTGCATGTTGTAGGAGAAAATTTGAAGGGATACTGAGAAAAATTTATTTTGAATGAGTAGGACTTAATGAGGATGTATTTTTTTCTTTAATGCATTAATTTTATAATCTGGTGCCATATTAAGTCAATACTAGGTATATTAAACAGAGTGTTTTTCTTTTAAAGATATTCTGGAGTGTGTACAATAATATTCCTCCTGTGACTAGCCTGCCTTTGAGATGTAGTTATCATTTAATGAGAGGAGAGAGGCGACCACTTTGGTAAGTGTCTTATGTGCAATTTGAGGTTAAGGTGGGAGGGAAATGGTTATGAGCCTCATAAAATATTTACTTCGTGCCAACTTGGAATGCCAAAGTAATTGTCTCCCAGTGATGTTGGAAAGTAATTTTAGCTATTAGTTAATTATGAAATAAGCCTTTGCCCACCAGCCCCCTCACCATGGGCTCCAGGATGATGTGTAGGTTTCTTCATGCTCATCCACTGAACTCCTCATTACAGTTTCACCATAAATAGGTCATTAGTAGCACACTGAAGGCATAATATGGTGCTTTGTATGAGGTGTGGCATCACTTTGCCTTATTCTTTCACTTGTTCATTAATGACCTGGCCAGTGGAGTAAAGAAGCTTTACAGGATGGTGGGGAGGTGAGGGAAATAACTGTGTTGCCCAAGTCTACTGCATTGCTGAAGAAATCTCCTACCACCTCAGACACAGCTTTCACGTGGACACAGGAGATCTGTGGTACTGACTATAGGCCAAGGTCTAGCAGAAGGTGCCTTTCCTTCTTTATAACTTGATGTAGTGATAAGGGTGGTGGACAGTAAGCCAGGTTTCCTAGGCTGGAGTCCCAATTAGTAACAGACTTTTATACCATTTCCCTCAAACTTTCTGAGTTATTGACTCTTTAATAAAATGGAAATGTGTTTCAGCTCATTTGGTAGCAAATGACATAAACCTAATTTAAGCAAAAGATTTTTTTTTTTTTTTTTTTTTTGTCTCTGTAGCTGGAAGTCTACTGGTAGGGATGATTTCTGGCTGCTTTAGATCTGGATGCTCAGATGTTGTGGGGAATGTGATGCTCTCCATCAGATCGGCTTTGTTTTCCTCTGTGTTGATTTCATTTGCAGGAAGCCTCTCCCATTTGTGGTGTCAAGAGGACCTTCATAAACTCTGCCACCCTGCCAGTTTACAATGTCAGCACTCACCAGCTCCACCAAAATCCCAGAACTAGCTCTCACTGGTCCACCTTGGATCATCTTTCCATCCCTGCTCACTCAGAAAAACTAGGAAGAGGCAGGATTCTCATAGGCAAACCTGGATCAAAATTCAACCTTAAGGCCAGGATGTGGGATCCACCCTGAATTGGTCTGGCATAAAAATAAGGGAGTAAGTGGCTTCCCAAAGGGAAATTTGGTGCTCTTACCAGAATAAGAGGGAGTAGGCATTAAACAAGCAAACACAGCAGATGTCCATTGCTGTGGGGGAGTCACTGGTTAGCTCTGTGACACAAGGTTTGTATAAGAATCAAACAGGACAATGCCATGAACGCATCACACATGTCAGAGCATGTCACACCTATATGAAGCAGTTGTATTAATCTTCCCAACCCCACATAATCCAGGGAGCCTCCCCTTACCCCCTTCTTGAAAATGAGCCCCTTATGTTCCCTCTTCTCCCCTGTCCTTGTGGCTGCCGAGTTCTACTTTCTTCCCTCCCCACCCTACCTTTTTCTACCATCCACCTCTGTTTCCAACATAAGAACTGAAAGAAAGTTTATTAAAGAATTGTTTTTGTTTATAAGTTCATTTGAAACTATTGTCCAGCTAAACTTATGAAGAAATACTTCTAAATATATGTGGGACTGCTTAATCCATAAGTATAACTTTAAATGTTTTTCATTGGTAACAGGGAAGAGGAGAGTAATGCAAAGGGCGGTGTATGGAAAATGAAAGTTCCCAAGGACAGCACGGTAGGTTGGTCTGGTCCCTTTCTAGAACTGACTGAGCTTGGGGTTCTTTGCACGTGTTGAACACTTTGTACTTTTCTGGCAGCCTGCCTTGTGGTTTCAGTACAGGACAGTGGGTGAGAAATTCTGGTCAGAATTTGGTGATTTTATGCCTTATGCTATCACCTTGAAAACATACTGTATTTATAGAAATGGTGTGATCATGTGACTGTATCATGTGCTCTGTGAGAGCTAAAAGCCAATAAACCTTACAGAAAAGCTTATTTTCCTCACCATTTCCTCACCAGCCATAACTAAGAGTGTGGCAGTTGGCACTCTTAGAAGCAGGATCCTTTCTACCAAAAACTCATCTCTCCTCTACTGGGGTCTAAAAGTAGTTCTGAGAGTAACCAGGGCAGCCATGGTATGGGGATGACTGGAAGCCTTGTTGTCTCACCATTCATTGGAATTTCAGTGACAGGCTATGCCCAGCCTCTCTCAGCCTCAGAAATCTCCATTTCCCAAGAGTGGTTTTTATCCTTGGCATATCTGCTTGGGCTCTAACTCACTATATTGACTGAAATGAGCATTCAAATCTGTTAAATCTGGTATCTTGAGCCCTGGGAAACCAAAAAGCTTCTTTGAAAATAGATGAAAGGGCAAATATTACCCTGTCTCACCTTCTCATGGTTTCTTTCATGTAGATAAACTCAGAGAATTGAAATGTCTCCAGAGACCCATATACTTAAGCTCCAGGCATTTCCCTATAAGCACATCTCTCAAGATAAGACCAGAATTATTTGTTCAATGTGCAAACTGTTAGTCAAGTTCCAAGCCTGACTGTTGTTTGGCTTACATAATAAAAAACGTCAGTGATGTGAATTAACAAACCAGGAAAGGTGTATTGACCCCCTTTAACCTGAAACAAGAAGAGAAAGTGAAGAATGTAAGAGAATGAGAGAATTTAAGTTGTTTTTTTTTTTTTTCTTAAATTAAGAATGTTTTGTCTTCATGTTCTTTATTTAGTTAAACTAGACTTTGAGTTCTGGTAGAAACAATCATAATGTCAACATCAGTTGAAAAGTGGCTGAACGGCAGCCACTATGAAGTCTATAAAGTCCTTTCTTTCTTTATTAGTCCACTTGGCCACATTCAGTCACAAGTAATGTGTGATGCTTTCATGTCTGTACAAGTGCCCTCATCCCACGCAGTTCAGCCCACTCTTAATGGTCAATGAATGGGATTCAAAGAGGAGAGTGAGTGCGCAGCTCCCCTTACCTCCTCTCCCAACCCTCACCTCTTCACTAACAATGCGGGATACCTCAGGTGGGACAGATAGAAAGTACAAGGAATGATTGCCAGACTCCAGATAAGTAACCATAAGGGAGGCTCAAGGCACGAAGGACGAAAAACCACTCTGAGGGTGAGCAGTCACTTTTCAGATCCCTAGTTAACTGCCATCACCTTGGTTAAAAAACTATCTAGGCTGATTTAAGTTCATTAGAACATAATACTAAACACTAGTATTAAAGTTAATATGTATTAAGCACCTGGCTTACAGCAAGCACACAATTATTTATGGAATGGATCTTGAATAATGTTGAGCCCTTTTATTACAAAACAACAACAACAAAAAGGGCTGTGCTCAGCCTTTTGAATGCATTAGTTGATACATTACATGCTCACAACAACCTTGGGTCAGCTTTGTTGTTAGTCCCTTGTTCCCATAAGGAGACTGATGCTCAGAGAGGTCAGTGGCCTGCCCAGGATCACAGACAGTACATACACACAGCCTTTTAGACTTCAAATTCAGTTCTTGGAGACCTTGGAGTCTGTAACAATGACCAAGAGGATAAGTGGGATTGAGAATTTTTGAAGAGCATTTAGTCCGCCAATAACTTGTGAGTGGACGTGGGCAGTTTATTGGATGTCACTCTGAGATCTTGAGTAGGAGGACCTCATTTCTTCCTCATGGTAGGAAGTAGACAAGAATGTGTACTAATTCTTCCAGGGAAATGCGTACATACATACAAAGTTATGTCACTTAGTATAAAAAATATGCCACAAATGAGTGCAAATCTGTAGACCTCTACCAAAATCAAACCAAACTTACTGCCACTGAGTCGATGCCATCTCATAGTGAACCCCCTTTGGGTTTCTGAGTGGTAAATCCTGTAGACCTCTAGTATTCAATAAACCAGAAATTTCCTTACATGTTCTTTAGTCATATAACCTTTGAAGCACATTGTAAGCTGCAAAGAAGGAAAGAGAAATGATTTTGGATAGAAAGATTTTATTAGTATCATTCAATTATAATCAGGTGATATTTTCTCAATCAGTGAGAGGTAGAGGAATTGGGAAATGGTCAATCATTTGAATGCATTTTTCCTTGTTCTTTTGAACTTCATCAGAGGTTTCACTACGGAGTAACGTCCTTGAGACTTTGGATCACTTGTAGCTATCTGTAAAGTTTTTTGTCAACTAGTAAGAGATATAGGAGCTCTGGTAGCATAATGCCTAAGGCACTTGACTGCTAACCAGAAGGCTGGCGGTTCAAACCCGCCAGCCACTCCTCGGAAGGAAGGTTGGGCATTCCTACTTCCGTAGTGATACTGCCTCGGAAACCCAAGGAGGGGTCGCTATGAGTCGGGGCCAACTCGATGGCAAATAACAACAACAAATAACAAGTAAGAGATGTATATTATTGTCAGTATCTGCACCTGTGATTTGGAGATGTCTGCGGGCTTGAGATATGGGTGTGGAAATGCATGTTAAATTGAAGAAAGTGTGACATGTTTAGTTCCTAATGATAACTGTCTAAAAATATGTATGTGTTGTTTTTTTTTGTTTGTTTGTTTTTTGTTTTTTACTCTTCTCTCACATCAGTCCACAGTTTGGAAAGAGTTGTTGTTAGCAACTATCGGGGAACAGTTCACAGACTGTGCTGCAGCAGGTAAAAGAGCACCCACTCTGCTGTCCATCGGTCCGTGGTACTTGCAGAGGGATGTGTGTGTGTGTGTGTGAGTGTGTGTGTGTGGCTGTCCACATGTTTTGAAGTTGTTTGTTTTGTAACCACAAAGTTACTTAGATTCTTTTCATGTGATTGCAGTGTTTGGTGTTTTGTGTATGGGGTTGTGGTGGATGGTTTTTTTTTTTTAAATCTACTAAAAGAAAGGTCACTACTGAAGAGAATGAGTTTGTTTTTTAGCTGTTCTTTGTCAGAGTTCTAGAATGTTCTATCAATACATTCACTGTCCCAAACTTCCTTGCTATTACTATAACTACAGTTCTGTGTTAAATATTTGAGTCACATTAGGAATTAATTGTGTACTCATTGCCATCGAGTTGATTCCGACTCATAGTGACTCTGTAGGACAGAGTAGAATTACTCTGTAGGGTTTTCTAGACTCTAATCTTTATAGAAGCAGACAGGTACATCTTTCTACTACAGAGTTAGCTGGTGAGTTTGAATCCCTGACCTTTTGGTTAGCAGCCAAGTGCTTACCCACTGTGCCACCAGGGTTCTTTAGTTATGAGTATAACAAATAAATAGCCCTCAAAGTGAAGCAGCCAGGAACTGAAGCAGCTAAAATATACAGATTAGCATATGACAGTAAAATAGTAGAGCAAATTTTTTTCTGAAAAGGGCCAGATAATAAATATTTTGGGCTGTTGAGGGCCATACAGTCTCTACTGAGGCTATCAGCTATGCCATTGTAGCATGAAAACAGCCAGAGACAACACATAAATGAATGCATATGTCTGTGTTTCACTAAAACTTTGTGTACAAAAACAGGAAGAAGACTGGACTTGGCCTGTGGACTGTAATTATCCAGCCTCACTATTAGAGATAGAGATAAAATACCAGACCATAAAACATAGGGCTGAAAAATAGCTTTGCTACATATCATACGTGTGTGTATGTGTATTTCCATATGTATGTACTATACATAGAAATGCATATATATATGAGATTTTTCCCTTATAACTCTACTTAATAGTATCTGCAATGATCTGTCCGAAATGAATAGGAATGAAGAAGAGAAAAATTTGAAATCAGTTTGAGTTCCTAACTCCATTAGTAACAGGTTTCCTTTACTTGTTTCAAATCTTCCAGAAAGGGAAAGTGCCCCAGGGTGCCCAGTAAAGTGTGTTTTTAGGCAGGCCCAGCCCCTTCTGGCCCTGTCAATTCCTTCTTCTTCCTCTTGTTTCTCCCTTGGTTGCCTGCCTCAAAGAAGGTTTCAGGGGTAGGCAAGGATGCCCTAACATTATAACCCATGATCCTGCAGTTGAGGCTAAAACACAAGGCCTTCACAGCTTTACTTTGGAAAGCATTTTCAAATATTGAATGACTTTCTGCGAGCCCCAGTGAGTACTTTTGGTTTTGTTTTGATCATGAAATCACTCAAAGAGGAAAGTTTAATTACTTGTTTAAAATTTTGTTTGCTTCTTGGATAGTTACTTCTGAAAGCTCCTGGGGTAATATTTAGAATAATATTTTTCCTGTGCAGCTTTCATTTTCGAAATCTTTTTTTTTTTTAACTCATTGGTATTCAGTTGTTTGCCCTGTGACTTAGATGGTGCGGCCTTTGGAAGCCCTGTGCTTTGTTGTTAACTGTCATCAAGGCAGCTCCCGACTCCTGGCCACCTTGTGTGTTACAGAGTAGAACTGCTCCATAGGGTTTTCTTGGCTATAATTGTTATGGAAGGAGCCCTGGTAGCACAGTGGTTAAGTGTTTGGCTGCTCATTGAAAGGTTGATGATTTGAACCCACCAGCTGGTCAGCAGGAGTAAGATGTGGCAGTCTGCTTCCATAAAGATTTATGTCCTTAGAACTCCTAGTGGGCAGTTCTGCTCTATTCCATAGGGTAACTGTGAGTTGGAATCAACTCAGTGGCAGTGGGTTTGATTGGTTTTGGAATCCTTATGGAAGCAGTTTGCCAAGTTTGCCTTCCACAGAGCCATTCGGTAGGTTCGAACCACCAACCTTTAGGTTGGCAGCCAACTGCAAACTGCTTGTGCCAGCCAGGCTCCTTTGGAAGCTCTGTGGGCTTTGCCAATCGGATAGAAAATTTTAAATTCATCTCACTAACAATTTCAATAATTCTACTTTTGTTTTGCTTACTTCTTACACCACTTTTTATTCATTTAAGCTTGGGCAAGATGAAATTGTCTTAAAACTACAGATGTCTTCTGACTTTTAATATAGAGTAGTTAGCAACTACACAGTGTATTCTATGTATAATTATAAATCCATAAATCTGTGAGAAAGGAAGTATTCTTTAGGAATTATTCTTGTTTCCAGAACCAGAGAAAATACCCTAACTAATAATAAATAGCCAGCATTGAATAAAGAAAGGAGCCCCTGGTGGCACAGTGGTTAAGTGCTCATCTGCCAACCAAAAGATTGGTGGCTCAAACTCACCAGTCGCTCCAGGGGAGAAAGATATGGCAGTCTGCTTCCATAAAGATTTACAGCCTTAGAAACCCTATGGAGCAGTTCTGTTCTGTCCTATAGGGTTGTTATGAGTTGGAATCAACTCCTTAACAACAGGTTTTTGGTTTATTGAGTAAAGAAGACCTATTCTGTGGTTGACTTCGGAAGCTGGAACACCATTAATTGTTAACCATTAGCCCTTCCATTAACTAGCTGTGCAACTTTAAACAAGTCGTCTAAGCTCTCCAGACAGCATTCCTCTCATCTTTAAACAGAGGTTCCTCTTAGCTCTAAAGTTGTATGCAGCCAGTACACTGAACTGATTGATCAAGTTTTGCTGGTTAATTTGTTTATGAATATTATATGTTTGCTGACGGGCCTGCCTTTGCATAGGAGTTGCAGCCTTCTTACCATCCAGTTTGTGAAAGGGCTGTGCTAGGAGACCTCCCAGCTGTGCCTAGTTACCAAAAGCCAAACCAAACAGAGATATTGACAAGTCAGCCTGGTCAGCATCCATCAGGCACAGTACCCTCTGACAAATAGGGCAGAAGTGAACAATATCAAAGAGGGGGAAACGCTGTTTTTTACCTAAAAGGTCATCTGGTGATTTCATGGTCATTCTTGAAAGTGGTCAACTGTAAAGCTTTCATCTTTATTTGATGCTTTTATTCTCACAGGAAGTTTATACCGAGCTCTAGCAAGTGTATCTTTAAAGTGTAAACTAAAAATAAGAAAACTACTGCCATCGAGTCAATTCAGACTCACAGTGACCACCATTGGTTTTCCAAGGCAGTAATTCTTTATGGAAATAGATTACCCCATCTTCCTTCTGCAGGGCAGCTGGTGGGTTTGAACCATCAGCCTTCTTCTTAACAGTCAGATGCCTTAGGCACTGCACCACTGGAGCTCCTTAAAAATAAGAAGTAGGTAATAAAACATCTCTTGATCAGATAATACATTCCTCTGAATGGCCTTTTTTCCTTCCTTTCTTCCTCCCTTCCTCCTTCCCTCCCTCCCTTCCTCCTTCCCTCCCTCCCTCCCTTCCGTATTTCCTTTTTAAATGAATTTGATCTTGGCGAAGTGTATATGGGAGCTCTGGTGGCACTGTAGTTAAAGCATTGGGCTGCTAACTTAAAGGCTGCTAACTTAAAGGCTGCTAACTTAAATCCTTTTTTTTTTTTTTTGGAACTTTTTATTCAAGTATTTCATACATACTAGAATAGTACCCAAACTATACATATACGACTTGATAAATTTTCACAAAGTAAACATGTTCCTCTAATTCCCAGATCAAGTTGCAGAACGTAATCAGCCCTCTCAGGACTCCCCTACTCTGTCTCCCTTCCATCCATTATCTTCCCTCCAAAGGTGGCCACCAATCAGACTTTTAATATCATAACTTAATTTTGTCTCGTTTTGAACATTTGTCTAAATAGAACCATTTATGGTAAATCATATGCATTTAAAAACAAACTCACTGCTGTCGATTGGATTCTGAATCATAAATAGAGACCCTATGGGACAGAGTAGAACTTCCCCTTAGCATTTACAAGGCTGTTTATAGAAGTAGAGCGGCTGGTGAGTTTGAACTGCTGCCCTTTAAGTTAGCAGCCCAATGCTTTAACTACAGTGCCACCAGAGCTCCCATATACATTTAGCCAAGATCAGATTCATTTAAAAAGGAAATATGGGAGGGCTGGAGGGAGGGAGGAAGGAAAGAAGGAAGGAAAAATTTTCTTCCTCAAGATGAGTTATTTTAGTAAATTAGGGAGGTCTCTATTTAAATTATATCTCAGTACTGGAATATTGTAACTTCCAAAAGATAATTGAACAAACTTAAATGTGTAAATTTATAGAGGCTAGCATGTTTGGCAAATTAGGCAAAGCCTTTGAAACTAAGGCAAAATTCCCTAATTTTGATACTTCCCTTTCACATTCGTTTATCAATGCCCAGTGCACAAGAGTAGTGGGCTGACATTGTTTCCTTGCATGTCCTGTGAACATGTGAAGCCAGGAGTCCCAGTCTTTACTCCTACCATTTCATTGAAAATTGGTGTAAACAGAGTAGCTGCAAGGGAGCATGTAACAGTACAAGCAAATAGCTACCATTCTTAAGGCAACCTGAAGTTCAGGATTTAGCTGAAAAAAAGAGGCAGCATTAACTGATGTAGGTAAATGCCTTAATGTTTATTCACTGAAGTAATTGTTGTTGTTATGTGCCGTTGAGTCAGACTTGACTCATATTGACTCCCCCCCTTGCATTACCGAGGCAGTATCACCACGGAAGTGGATTGCCCAACCTTCCTTCTGAGGAGTGGCAGGGGGGTTTGAACCGCCAGCCTTCTGGTTAGCAGTCAAGTGCCTTAGGCACTACGCTACCAGAGCTCCTCACTGAAGTAATTGTTGTTGTTGTTGTTTGCCGTCGAGTCGGCCCCGACTCATAGCGACCCCTCCTTGGGTTTCCGAGGCAGTATCACTACGGAAGTAGGATTGCCCAACCTTCCTTCCGAGGAGTGGCTGGTGGGTTTGAACCGCCTGCCTTCTGGTTAGCAGTCAAGTGCCTTAGCCACTATACTACCAAAACCAAACCCATTGCTGTTCAGTCAGTTCCGACTCGTGGTGACCTCATGTGCCAGAGTACAGCTGCTCCATATGGTTTTGTTGGTTGTAGTCTTACATGAAACCAGATCACCAAGACTTTCTTTCGTGGCACCACTGGGTGGATTTGAACCACAAACTATTAGGTTAGTAGTTGAAGGCAAGCTGTTTGCTCCACCCAGAGACCTCCATGTACAATAATAAAACTCAAAAACTCACTGCCATCAAGTTGATTCCGACTCATAGCGACCCCTTTAGGGTTTCCAAGGCTGTAAATCTTTACAGAAGCAGACTGCCTCATCTTTCTCTTGTGGAGCGCTTGGTGTGTTTGAACCACCAGCCTTCTGGTTAGCAGCCAAATGCCTTTAACTACTACACTCCTAGGAGCTCTGGTAGCGCAGTGCCTAAGGCACTTGACTGCTAACCAGAAGGCTGGTGGTTCAAACACACCAGCCACTCTTCGGAAGGAAGGTTGGGCAATCTACTTCCGTAGTGATACCGCCTAGGAAACCCAAGGAGGGGTCGCTATGAGTCGATCCGACTCAACAGCACATAACAAGAACAACAACAACCAGCTCCTAAGTATTATAATAGCAGACCCAAATTCAGAAGATACTTACTCTGTATGTGGTGCTAACATGTATTTCTTGGTTTTTTGGCCTTTAGTTAAAAGCACAAACCAGAGGGAGGATTGTTAGAGGGAAGCACCTGAGAGCAGGAAAAATTCACAGGAAAAGAGCAGGCAAGCAAACCACCGAAACAGAATGAGCAACTCAGAACACACAGCTTCGAAGGTCCAGTTAGTGTTGGGGCAAATAGCACTAACCACCCCAAAGGGCTCTGAAACTTGGCAGGGAAGGAGAATAAATACTTGGTGTTTTCAACAAAGACAGTAGGGCATCGAGGAAAGTTCATTTGAGTCTGCTTGGCTTTCAGAGTACAGGGAATCATGCAACCCATTTTATAAAGAGTCTCATCAAAACAAAGTAAGAAAGTCAAAAAGCTTTGGTAATATGTTAAAAAGGATAAATTTCTTATCTGGAAAATTCATTTAGCTGGGACACTTTGTTTATTGAAGTCTCTGGATAAATGTAATGTGACTGCTGCAGCCTTTATATACTGACTTGCCTTATTTCAATGATTGTGTTAGAAACAAGTATTTATTAATGATTTCTTGTGTGTCGACTTCATTTTTTCATCTTATCTGTAACTTATGGATAAAATGATAATTTCTGAAAACACAATGCAGGCCTACTTAAAATAATCACTCATTTCTTTTTTCTTCTATCCTCCCCTCAGATGACGAAGTAATAGGAGTTAGTGTCAGCATTCGTGACCGAGAGGATGTCGTCCAAGTCTGGAATGTAAATGCCTCTTTAGTGGGTGAAGCTACTGTTTTAGAAAAGATCTATGACCTTCTGCCCCACATATCTTTTAAAGCAGTGTTTTATAAACGTAAGTGCTTTGTTTTCCAGTTACTACTTTCTAGCTTGTTCTTTCCTGCTTTTAAAAATAGAAACTGTGTTGCAAATGGGGTGAAGGCAGAATCACTTGAAATTCTATAATTCAGAATATGATTCAATAAAATACACTGAAGGGTTTTTTTGCGGGGGAAAAAAGGACAAGTTTAGTCTTGGAAATTAAAATGAGATTTTATTTCGCTTAACTGCATGGATCAGAACAAGAGAATACATATTATATTTGTTGTTTCAAAAATCTAAACCTGATCTTCAATTTGTCATTCTCAGGAAAAAAAAATTCATTCTATTTGAAACAATAATAACAAAAATGTTATTATGTGAGCTGGCAGGTAGATATTCAATCATCCCTTTATAAACATGAATTTGTAATGTATAACATCTGTATTTTGGGAGGAAACTCATTCTGAGCTCAGGAATGATTGAATGTTCTACTGAAATGCTAATACTTCCTCATTACCAATGACTGTGACACAAAATGGAAAGAGAATTCATGCATAGTGGTGAAATGTTAACAAAGGTATGAATAGGTGTGTGGACCCATTGTTTCCATCATGATTCATGTTCATTTCTTTCGTGTGCTCTCTTTAAAAAGTCATCTTTTTCATAATGAAAACAGCTTAGAGCTATTAAACTAATATTTGGTAGATCAGATTGTGGGTTACACTCTTAACAATGAGTTACAGACAAGAATTGACAGCCCTACACATGTATGATAAATTTCCTATTTTCCAAGCTGTTCAAGAGTCAATAACCCTATCTTTCTTTTTTAACTACTGTATTTCACTGAATCTAAGATGCCCTATATGATATGATGCCCTATTATTTTAGTATTACTAAGAAAGAAAAATAAAAGGCTATATATTGATTTCAGAGCCCCTCAAATTTGGGGGCGGGTAGGGAGAATGCATCTTAGAATTGTTGAAATATAATACATTCTTCTCACTTTCATATTGTTTTACTTTTCTCAACCCTTTTCCAAAAAGGACAAAAAAAATAAATGTTTTTTCAGAATTGTCCTAGTATGATAAAGAAATTATAATTAAGGCCTCCCGCCAAGGAACCATGCAGTCACAGGTCAAATGATTTAGGCTTTCAGTGCTCAGACTGCTCTGGCACTGCAGATATTCAGCAGGTGCTGAGCTTCTGAATTTTAAATGCAAGTTTAAAAAAAGAGAGACAGAAAGATGGCTCTGCAGAAGTTGCTTATTGACTGTGTGATGTGGAAATTGCAAATTTGTAGATGCCATTTCGATTCCTTTTGGAACATTGATTTTATATTCATCCAGATACTAATTGAAAGGTCACCAAGGGCTTTTTTTTTTTTTGGTTTGTTTGTTTTCAACTCCATAGAACTAACAACTCTGGCAGAAACTCTCCAGAAAGGAGGTATGTTTCACTGCCAGTTAGGTAAGGGGCTAAACATTGTTGACCACCTTTGAACTAGGTCCACATTGCTGATTGTGTGGACTCAAAAGAGGAAAAAGGCAATTTTAGATTTAAATTTTGGTAATTAAGTCTGGCACCTTGGACTTTTGTCACACTTCAACAGTGTGACCTTGACCAAGTCACAACTTGTCATCCATTCACTTTTCTCACCTGAATATGGAGGAGGTTGGTCTTAGATGATCTCCAAGGTTCCTTCTGCTTTAAAATTCTATGATTAAATGTCCAGGTAACTCATACTAATCTTTTATTAGATAATTAGTCCTCAGAGTGGCTAGGCTGGTTTTTAGAGCCTTAGCATTAATCAGGTAAGACTGACCAAAGCGGGATGACTCACTGCTTAGCAACTAGCTGTTGTGATTGCTGAGGGGAAGAAAAAGGCCAAACAAGGGAAAAAGAGATGCAGTGTGGCCAGTTGAATCAAGCTGAATTGACACCCTAAAGGTAGATGACATTGTAAATTCATGAGTCCTGCAGAACCACTACTGGTCTCAGTAAAAATCTATATTTTAATGGTATAAATTAACATTTAAAAGTGCAAAGATTATTCAAATAAAAATTTGAAGTGGAAAAAACAAGCAGTTCTCTATTTTGTAAAGCAGGCAGTCCTTTACTCAGTAGGGTAATGTACTTCATTCTGTAAAACTAATTTAGAAAAACGAGATTGAGGCAGAAACCTCATTCACTGCATGTTGAAGTATAGTCCAGGATGAGCTAAGTTAGAAATGGCCACCTCCATGCTTTTGGTTTGTGGTGTTATCAGGGTCTTGGTTTAAGAAGTCACAAATTTACAGGAACTAGATGACAGGGTAGATGTTGCATGTAGAAAGATCCCAAGCATATTTGGGCAAGGCCTCCAGCAGGGGGGTGAGGACAGGGCTGCTGATAAGTTACATATGATTTAGGTACAGAGTGATTACTTGACTAAGAAACTCACCCTGTACAGAGATCTTCCCAAATTCTGTTAAGCTCCACAGAGCAGCTGAATGATGAATGTGTTTTCTGATGGAAGAATTGTTTAGAGCAGGGGTTGGCAAACTACAGACAAGAGAGCCTAATCTACTCCCTAACCACCTACCCACCCACCTGCTTTAGTACCAGCTGCAACTACTAGCCTTTTACATTTTTTAAGGGTTGGGGGGAGAAATTTTTTAAGAAGGATATTTTGTAACATGTAAAAATTATAAAAAATTCAAATTTCAGTTGTCCGTAAATAAAGTTGTGTTGCCACACAGCCATACCCATTTTCTTGTATTTTCTATGGGCGCTTCCTTGCTGCAGTGGCAGTTGCTGCTGCAGAAACCACATGGCCTGCAAAGCCTAAATATTTACTATCGGTGCTTTGCAGAAAAAGTTTGCTGACCCCTGGCTAGAAGCATTTCTATTTTCCTTGTCTACCAAGTCTAACCTAAGGCCTACAGAACTTCCTCTGTTTCTCAAGATGCTTTCACTTCTGAGTGTTCTATTCTACCATCTCCATAACCTTTAAAATGGTCGTATTTCACAGTGTCTCAACTATGACCGCGCCAGACTGCCCCTCACACCTAGAAGTAATAAAAATCTTTGGGCAGCCCATATCTCTTGATTTCTAATTTGGAGACTAGCATCACTATCCTTCTACAGCTCCTCTACTTGACCCAGCTGGACTGTATATTTTATTACACAGTACACCACATATTATTTAGCTTCTGTCCTAAAAATCTTTAACAAGAAATCATAAAACATGAAATATTTGTGTAGTCATAGCTGTGAGAAATGCTCATTGAATTAATTGAGATTACAGGCCACTCTAGGAATTTGGGAGACCTGGGGGAATAACTGTTAGGCTGTAAGGTAGACCTCCCCCAGTGGTTTAACCATGTGAAGGGGAGGTTGGGGTAAATAAATACCCAGGACGATCCTGAAGAGAAAATAGTTATCCCCCCCCACCCCGTCTCTAGCAGTCAACAATAGTATGAAGAAAAAAGTCTTAAGACACATGGCTGCTAATCAAAAGGTTTGATGTTCAAGTCCGTCCAGAGGTGGCTTGGAAGAAAGGCCTAGCCATCTATTTCAAAAAAACCACACACTACAAACCCTCTGGAGTACAGTTCTACTGTGATACACATGGGGTCACCATGAGTCCAAACTGACTTGACAGCAATTCTTCTTTTAAGGGGTAAAAAGGGCCACCCCCATCTTTGCCCTCCTAGAGGACATAATTCACTACAAGTTTAGGGTAGAGGTTATGGAGGTGGGGAGGGGGATACAGCATACAAGATCTTGTGTCGCCCCTGGCTTTATCAGACCCAAGCCTCAGCAACTTTTCCACCTGAAGGGAAGAGCATTGAAGCCAGACCTTGCTTCAGGATGGTTAACTAAGTGCAGAAACTGGATTTTTAAACTAGGCCTTTTGCCTTGGAGGAGATATGATATATATCCTAATACTCCCATTCCCCACCCTCCACTTTAAAAAAAAAAAAAAAACTGCAAGCTTTTGGAAATATTTTTGGTAGAGTAATTTTTTAATTCTAGAATTCCTAATTGTAGTTAGTAATTTGGCAAGCCAGACCAAAGGGCTGAAAATCTACTGAAGAAGGAAAACTAAACTCATGGGAGGCAGGGAGGACCCAATCAATTTTATGAAATGTCATTTCCAAGAGTGGGAGTTCGGAGGAGGGGGAGGGCATAATATAATTGTTACCACCCTTGTGTTGTTCTTTGTTTAGTTTTATTTTTTGTTTTATTTTATTTTTAAAGATAGGCTTTTGGAGGGTAACTTGAGTCTCCCTGCAATGCATTCTGTGGGATGCAATTTCCCCTGCAGCGTTTGCGAACAGCCCAACATGCATACTGTCTTCATCAGCTTGTCAGGATTACTCATCCTCTTGGACACAGCAAGAAGAAACAGGCAGCATGCCCATTGCTTATTTATCCCTTGTTTTACTTTTCATTATTACATCTCTCAGGAAATGCACGCCTTAGCTAAAAGTTACTGGCCAAAAATTATTTGAACTCTTGCCGACATTTGGGGAGACTGAATGACATGCTAGAGGAGGGTTGCCCCATCCTTTGCTTAAAGTTTTCTTTCCTTTTTTTCTTTTTTTGTTTTTTTCTGTCCTTTAGCACATGAAGAGCATCATGCTTTTGAAGGTGGACGTGGAAAACACTAATTGCACTCTGTAAAGAATTCTTTATCCTTTGCTGATTGGTTTTGGAAACGGTCTTAACAGGAGGGAGAGTGAAGAGAAGACTTGCCGAAGCTCTCGATGCTGGTCAATTTAGGGTGGTTTCTGTCCTTGCAGAATGGGCAATTAGCACTCCAAGTGGCAGGTGGGGGGTGGGGGAGAGTGTATGGGTTTCTGCCGTCACATTACTTGCTTTATTTTTTTCTTTTTGGCTTTCTAAATCTCTGTTCTTTTCACTTTGATTTTTTCCCCCCTTTTTAATTCCTTCTTCAGTCTAATTATTGTTTTCTATGCTCCTCTTTCATTGAGGCACAAGAAATCGGTTTCCCTTTAAGTAGCTCTGCTGTACCTAGTTAATGAGAATATGCATAAGCGTGACAATACTGCTTTTGAAAACCACACTGTACATGGAGGAATACTAGCTGGTGAAACCTGTCCTCTGATTATTTGTTGTGACACATTCCTACAGACTGTGTACTGGGCATTGTTTTTTCTGTCCCAGGGAAAAGAAAAACCATACTTAATCTGGTTTTGCACTGACAGCACACATACACTTTCTTTTTTCCTTTTTAAAACTATTTTTTTAAAACAATAAAAGAAAAATAATAGTTGGATTGCCTAACATGATAGCTGTAATCACAGTTCAGTATCAGGATATAAATCAAATTCTAGGTCTTTAGACCCTCTGTGGAAATATTGTTAACTGGAATTTCAGTTTGGCCTTGTCAAAGGAGGGCTTAAAATGCTAGCAAGGGATTTCTCCCAATAGGAAGCCTGGTATTTCTAATGGAAAGAGGAGGTAATATTTCAGTTGTTTGAATTAAGCTTCTGAATGTTGGATGTGTGTACCCATTTAAAGAAGCTCTGGTGGCGACAGGGTTAAAACATTTGGCTGTTTGGCGTCAGCGTTAAAACATTTGGCTGCTAACCAAAGGTCAGCGGTCCAAACACACCAACTGCTCCTCAGGAGAAAGATGAGGCAGTCTGCTTTTGTAAAGATTCACAGCCTTGGAAACTCTATGGGGCAGTTCTACTCTGTCCTATAGGGTAGCTATGAGTAGCAGTAGGGGTTTGTGTGTGTGTGTGTGTGTGTGTGTGTAGGTACCCACTTCGGGCTTTACAGATCAATGTTAACACATTTTGTTAAATGATCCCTCTTCTTGCTCATGGTGTGAGCAGGTCCCACATCCTACCCACCCCCCACCCCACCCCCAGCCCATTTTCTTTCATTTAGGAGCAGGAAGTTAAATCTCATTTGCATGGTGACTTTGAACCTTTATAAAGTTGAACTTTGAGTGCTTTCTGTTCATATGAATTATTGGAATTGTTGATATGCATTGCTTTATGCTACCAAAGAAATACTGGCTTTAGTGAAAGGAACTAGCCATCCTCTGGAGCATTAGGACGTGCTCAGACTGCACCCATTTCCTCTAGGCTCTGCCAAGCCTCTGGCTGCTTTTACCTGAATAATGGCAGGGCCCTTTGAAGACGCTTCCTCCTGTGGGCTTGTTTTTGGAGTCCCAGGAGCTAGTGTGTGTCTATGCATTTCACCATAAGGGCCATGCACCCTCGTATGCCATCCTTGTATCCAGGATTTAAAATTTGTAATTCCTCTTGCAGTATTGACCAGCAGAGAGAGGCGAGATGACTTAAAGCCTCCAGCAGCTGTTTGTAAATAAAATTTTCCATTCACACATTTTAGAGGACTTTCAACAATATCTATTTATAAAAATTGTGCCCTTCACTTGTGTTACTAACCATATCTAACATAATAACAATAATTGTACTCGAAAAAATACTTTGTTTCTAAACTTGAGTTTCTTCAGTGATTTCAAAATGAGGTATAAGAATATCCAACCCTTTTCTCAAAAGCTGGGAGTTATTTCTCTAAATGTGCTAACATCCAACTTGTTTTTAAATTATTCATCAAGGATTTATAAAAATTATTCTGGACACGAATTAAAATTCTTTTTTTATAAATATAAGTATTTTTCTGATAGATGAAGAAAAGGATATACTTGACTATCTTCATTATAATTGTCATATATATTTCCATAAGTAAATGGATTTTGAAGTATTTTTATTTTTGAACTTTATTTAAAACATTTGTGATGACGTGTTCAACTTTTGCATGTTTGTAGCCTTTGAAGTAAAACAAATAAAATAAACAGGAATGTTAGGCTCACCTTAATTTTTTTTCTAGTTTCTGTTGTTTATGATCACAGACCATGACTAGCGCATAAAGTAGATTCTGTCACAGTCAACTTTTACAACAATTTCTGACCCTTTGGAAAATACTAACTGTGAGAAGGATTTAATTTGCCTAATGTTAAGAACCTATCATCGAAATTACTTTTAAGAGAGGATTTTGTCAGATTTTGCTTTGGAAATTGTTTTAATTGAGTATTTAGTTCATGAAAGACTTTGTGTGAACTAAGCTGATTTAATCAGTTTAAAACCCTCTCATTACCTTCTTAGATTAAAGAAGCTAATACTTTTCTGGGATACGAGGAAATATTTTGTGTGGCATGTGACTTTGGTGTTAGGGCAGCTTACCGACCTTGGCCAGCTCTGGGGAAAGTGATAACTTCAGTAAGAGCCCTGCTCTTTTCAGCCAAGTCCTTGCAGGTGCAGCCTTGTACTCCCGGCAAAGAGCCATGCAGGAGCCAAAGAGCTCACTTTCTTGTCTTTGTGATCCTCAGGGTCTGTGATACAGAGCCAGGAAATCTGATGGGAAGCAGTATGCTCTTTCTCCTCCCAGCATTCCCCAGGTTGTTATGTCTCAGGCACTTGCTTACATCAGGAAAGTTAGATACATCAAAAAAGGATGAAAAATCTCCATTTAAAGTAACTTGTCTACCTTTTGATTATTCTTCGTAAGTACTTTCTGAAGTGCTGACTTGGTGTTAAGATTTCCTCCCTACCCCCACTTTTCCACATTTCTAAAATGAGAGTATAGTTTACAATTAACATGTACATTTATTGTAATATTCCTATTAAAATGTCTGGTACAATTGATAGATAAACACACACACACACACAAACGTAATTCTAATAAACTTTAGGGAGCTCTGGTAGCGTAGTGCCTAAGGCACTTGACTGCTAACCAGAAGGCTGGTGGTTCAAACCCACCAGCCACTCCTTGGAAGGAAGATGAGGCAATCTACTTCTGTAGTGATACTGCCTCGGAAACCCAAGGAGGGGTCGCTAGGAGTCGAGTCCGACTCAACAGCACATAACAACAACAACAACAATAAACTTTAAGTTTAGACTGGCTTTAAACTTCCAGCCTTCTTGAATTTAAGTCAAGTCTACACCACACATACAGCACAAGACTGTATTGTATAGTTGAAAGAAACTTTAGGTATAATTGGGTCTACTAGAAGGCTGGCAGTTCAGACTTACTAGGCACTCCTCAGAAGGAAGACTGGGCAGTCTACTTCCGTAGAGACACTACCTCAGAAACCCAAGGAGGGGTCACTGTGAGTCAGAACTGGCAGTGAGTTTAGATAACAATATACAATAAAACCTATGTCAGCTGGAACCCAATGGGACTGCCTTGTTTTTCTGGGTCTTACAAATTTTTCACCTTTGACTGGGTGCAGTCTTTTCATTTTCTATTGGTTATTTTAGTGGAAAATACTTAAATATTCCTTCTCTGAGAGGTTTCCACCTTATACATGTTCTGACTTTCGCAGATTTTACTGTACATGTTCTGACTTTCGCAGATTTTACTGTACATTATACCAACTAAGCCTTGTCTGAATTGTTCCCTTGTTAAAGGACATAAGAGTAAAAAGCAGCAGAGCTGGGCATTGAGTTCTGTAGGTTATATTCCAGTCCAAGCCTCCTTAAACTAAGAATGTTCATTCTGTCAACCTAAGCATCCCTTCCTTCGCAAACAAGTCACCCTCTGATCACAAACTAAGTATCTGATCCCATCTGGCCATTGATATGACTGTACATAATGAGACGTCCACATTGTGAGTAGCTCATCATTTTCACTCACTCTCAGTGACTGAAGTGAGGTTACAATGTGGTGTTTGAAAATGACCTGATGTTAACAAGAGTTGGCCCTTTGCAATTAGGTTTTCAATGCTTAGAGACTCCTAACTATCGTGCTTACACAAAGCTGACAACATTTGGAGCGATCACATGGTGGCGCTGCCTTCCAGCCAACAGTTCTGGCTCAACAGTATTTATCAGCATTTTTCCAGCTATGTTTGTGTCATTATTTTAAGATTTTACTGCATTCTGCTCTCAGGGTTTTACAGAAAATGTGATTAGATATTTTTATAAATGTTAAAAAGATGCTACCAATAATAAGTTGAGGTTTCATACACTTAATAAAAATAAGGCCAGGGTAAAACTCTCCATGTATGCTAAAAATCTCAAACCTTAGGCTTTCATTAGGCCTATAAGCAAGCCAACAGATATTGAAGTGAAAGAAGGAAAGAAATGAATTTGTAGGAAATAATGGAAATACTTCGTCAAATATTGTGCCCAAAAGAACAACTAAAATTAGGATTTTATCTATTTTTTAGCTTTTGAATATGGCATGCCCCTTTAAAATGTAAGTCTGTGGTTCTCATTTCCTACATTGTACATTTCTGTAAGATTTCACTCATAAATGAAAGTAGAGGACTGCCTGTATATGGTTTATTTCTTAAAAGAATACATTCTGATCAATTAAACATTGTTTGACGTTGGTGACTCAGGATTATAAAAGCCCCAGGTAAATTGCCTCAACAGCTGGGAGGAGTCAGAGGGTGAGGAAGAAAAAGATAGGGATGAGGTGCAGTGAAAAGTCCCTTTGAGAACCTGTGCAGCTCTATAACAAGTAGAATGAGCTCCCCTTTCTACTTCTTCCGGGAGCAAAACCCCCCAAAAAATTCCAGACACATCTGATTATACTGTTCTGTTTTTGGTTTTTATTATTTTTACATATGCATCAAAATCTAAGAACAGGTATTTACATTGAGCCA